AATATTTGTTAATGTTCACACAATATTCTTTTTCATTGCAAAATACATTTTTACTAAAATCATAGCACCTAACAGTTAAACAAATAACAAGGAAAAAAACCTAAAGCAAATACCAGTCTTGTCCTATAATATTTTTATTAATTCTTTAAACAGGTCACATATTATGCCGATTTGTTTTGTTTATCTCACGTAAAAGGTCTAACAATCGAGTAGCCATAACCTGTAGACAACTATTTAATTGCAAATTCTTTCGACTTGTTGTCCGTCAACCCGTCCTCCCACGTTCAAATATTTCATAACATTGGCTAAGTAGCATCCTAGATGTGACTACTTTTTAATTTTTATAGATAATTTTTTATCTATAAAATAATAACTTAAAATTAAAAAGATATATTTTTTTCTAGAAATGAATAAGCGTTAGTATTTTAACCTTAATAAGTTATAAAATTATTTTAACGTAAAATGAAGAAATTAAGCAAATTCAGGATTTTTATTACCAACTTAGAGTAATAAAATTACACATTAGTGCTAACACGTATATTTTATTACAAGCGCGTCAAATAAAACTGATTTAAATAGATAACACATATGAGCATATATTTAGACATATTACTGAATGAGTTTTATTTTACAATACCGGACTACAATACGAAAATGTCATATTAGAAACTATATTTGTACATTGACATTATCGAAATTAAATAATAATCTGAGTGGTAAATAAATTTTAATAAAATACAGTAATGTATAAAACCATGTAATAAACATAATTTTCGCCTAAAACTGCCAGAGTTACGTCAGAAAGACACAATGCTTTAACTAAATAAAACGTTATACTCGTTCTTAATTGTGTGAAATGTAAGAATTTTCAAACTTTACATTTAAGCTTTAAATCTGATAATCTTGATTTACAAACTATACAAAAAGTACATTGAACTGTGACTAATGTTTTGTTTGACATAAAAAGTAAACTCAGAAAGGAACACAGAACAAGACTTTCAACATTTTAGGCATTATAAATCAGTGAAAATATTAAAATTAGGCAGTCCTTTTCCATAATAAGAAACACCCGAAATAAATTCTGACCCTGTTTAAATCTTTGGCATATTTATGTTACTGTGTTTAGACATTCAGAAAAATTCAGGTCAAAACATTTTGTATTTTAGACAAAAATAAGTAACATAGAAAATAAAACAAGAGTAAACAAGCCTTGACTAGATATTAACCTTGTAAAGCGTACGCCCTTGACATTGGAATATTTGTTTTCGTCATATGCATATCACGGAGAAAACTATCAGTCCTTCTATAACGCGATCCGGTTTCTACCAATCTATTTTTTAAGAACGTAATAAGACTAACAAATAATACGTTTATTAGTTAGTTAATTGACTAACAAAGTATGTAAAAAAATATATGTAATATTAAGAATATTATGGTTATAATTATGGTATTTTTTAATTCGTAATACACGAAATCATTTAAAAAAGGAAAACTAGTCAGCATAGTGAATCATCTAAATATAAAGAGTCACTTTCTAGGATAAAAATATTTATGATACGAACGCAAAGGAATGCCGTATTGATGTAAATTTTCCTACAAATGTTTCCCTGTGCACCGATGTAGCCCGATTAACTGGATACGTGACCTAAGAATGACGTATTGTTTTGGCGAAAGCAAAGATATTAAACCCCAATTCTATATGTTTCAATTTTATTGTTGACTTTCGAGGTTCGTACGTACTTGTTATTCAAGTCATATCAACCATACTGTGGCCTTAATGTTGTTGTTTTTATTAAAACAATTTTGACATTTATTTGGACGTAATAATCACAACAGGATTATATTCTCTCTGTGTTGACTTACAAAAAGTAATAAGGTGTACTATTCATCACTCTTTAAATGACCTTGAATCTCCAATTTTCTTCGTAGTGATTGGGGCCACGTCTCAGAACATAAGTCAACTAGCAACACGCATTGGTAAAATAATTTCGTCTAGAGACGAAGAAATCACAATTTATTCGAATTACGAAAAGAATTACAAATTGTTAATCTTGAAACGAATTAAAATTACCCAAACAAGTGCTTACGACTCTCGTAAATTCTATTAATTTAACCGTGTCACTCTCTCAATGGCAGAATTACAACAAAAAATAAATCTCCAAAAAATGTTATGAGAGGATTAATCAACTAAACGATTAAATATTTCATTGTCTATAAAAGGTTTAATGCTCTCCGAATATGTGACAATGATAGTATAAAAAGCAGAACGAAGACCACATCAGGAGAAGCACAAAAACATAGCCCGAGAATAATGTGTTACGCCTTCTTTAAGTTGAACGCCCCGTTTGCGGTACCAATACACTTATTACGATCCGTTATTTTAATATACGATCATTAACGTTACCACATGTGAACTTCTATAATAGGTCAGGGACCGATAATGGTCGTAGTTGATTTTCTATTTAGTTTAAGTGATCGTAGTGCCTCAAGACATGTTTAAAACTTCTTTATGTTATAGCACTTTTGTTCAAAAGAAGAACATTCAATTGTTTCAATTGTGTCTTCCTAAACAATAACAAAACAAAACTATTATTCATAGCTTATCTATGACATATGTAGATACGAACTTTTCTTGTACTAATAATTACTTTAATTTGTATGAATTTATATCATTCTATACGTATTCTTCCTAAAGTGTACTAATAACCACTAGTCGGTCAAACCGTTTGTGTTTGTGTTTTTATTTAATTTCTTCTTGATTACCGAAAACTGTTTTGCATTTAGGTAACCACATCTTATTTTATAGGTTCTAATCTGATAGAAACTTGTCTTGCCTATAAATGGAATTCCCATTTACATATTTACGATGATTGCTAATACGAGCGGCTTGTTTTGTTTGTTCGTATCTTATTCAAATTGCAAAAATGAAAAAAGTATTGTCCTTAAAGTCATGATCTTGTTTTTAAATATAATAACAGCCCATATTTTGTACCCGGATAAAAACATTGGGCGTCTTTGATAAAATCTCTTTTGCATTTATTTAAATATTATAATGACTTACATGTTATTCAACAATGTCAAATAGACTTTTTCTTTTACGCCTTTTTAATGTTTTTAGATATAATAGGTCGAGATGCAGGACGTAAACCTGATCAGATGACAAATGAAAATTCCTTTTACACTGAAATCAATTATGTATAATTATGGCTATAGTATTATAGTATACAAGTGCACGTAATACTTACTTTAAACAAAGTTATTGTCACGTCATAAATGACCTAATACGACAGTTTGTAACGTCATTAATAATTAATGCTAAAGTCCTGACAAACGTTTATGTATCATACTTTAATCTGGTTAAATTAATATTTTAGAGAATTTTAAACGCCATAATATTTATACCTACTCTCTTCATATCGTGACACTAATAATACCAATTTACTTCTCCAATGTCGTGAAAGCGCTATAAACTTAAAAGCAAGAGACAGGCGCAAAAACAACGCATTTTGTATCGGGGTTAACAGAAAAACCACATTAAGCTAAGTGTAGGTGAGTTTATAAGGATAATTGATAAAAAAAATTAGAATCGCGCCGCACGATAAGATGTACAGATTTTATAATGTTTTACTTGTAATATTTTTCGTTTAAAAACACTGAGAGTTTTTAATTGCGAGTGACGCGCGAACCATTATTTGTTATTTCTTTTATTCGACTGTTATACGTCTTATTAATTAATTGTTAATCAATGATTTACACGATTAATTAACTTTTTTGCTCAATTTTAATAATAATCAATTGCTATGTACTCTAACCTTACCACTATTAATTTTGCACTTTCTAATGACTATTGTTATCCTTGACATCGAATAAACTCAAAATACTATTAAAACATCATTAATAGTTTTGTTACTAAGGTAATAAAGAAACAACAATGTTTTATTCTTTTGGCTTTTCGAGAAAAATCCTACAGCTTTTAAAATGAAATGTTTTGTACATAGTTACAATTTTTTAAAAATATTCTATCCCACGCCTGCACAAAAAAGTGCAGCTAAAGAACAACTAAATATCGATGGACAATATTATTTTCGCAAAAATTATGAAAATGTTGCGCTGAAGGGATGAATAATTTTATTTTTTAACAAAAGTATCTGGTTTCGTTACATTTTAGAGCGTCAATGTTTGTGGTTTTTTTCTTTTTGTTTCACATGAAATGGATATCCGATATTTTATCCAAAACTTTATTAAGATGTGTCATCAAACAATTTGATATTTAAAAAAAAAATAGTGTAACATTACATTGCATTTTCACAACATGGTAACATTTTTCTGTGCATCGGAAATTTAAAATCAATGATGACGTAAACATACAAAAGCAACATAAAAGGATGCAAATAACGATGACATGCATAGCACGTTACACCAATGTCCTATCATATAATAGGCTTGTTAATGTAAAAATTAAAAAAAAAAATAACAGTTATGTAATAAAAAAATTAAAATTTAATAAACAAATGATTTTAAAACATTAGGTTTCAAAATGTAGGCTTTTAAATGTGTAATTTCGAATGAAAAAAACAGGATGTAACCAACAATTTTTTTTTCTAATACATAATTTGGTACATTTCAGTTATGACAGTAGTGATGGAACTTCGAGGACCGAAGAAGGTGCGATACTGAATCCCGGTACGCCAGACGCCGCTCTTAATGTACTTGGTACCGTTCGCTGGTACGACGATAAGGGACAACTCTATGAAATGAGCTATAAGGGAGGTAAACGAGGATACCAAACGATTATCAAGAAAATTTCTTAGTAAGATCCTCAAGAGAATTAGGAATCAAGAACAAATCAGAGACTGTGAAGTATTTATTTTAATAGCGTAATTTTATTTGCAGATTTGCAATTATTTATTTATATAAAATCATCTAAAATTGCCTTATTAAAATGTATTTATTTAAATTTGTATGAGTTTAACTGTTTTGTTTCCCAGTATTTAGCGAGGTCTTTAGAACATTTTTAATAGCATGTTTACAAGACGTCACATAAAATTTTGTATAAACTATGACGTCTTTAAAATCCGATGCCAAAAATAACTATTTTTAAAGAGTTTAGATGGTATTAAACGCAACTTATCGTAAAGAAACGTTTGTTATACCTGATTTGTTAAGCCCTTAGATTAAAAAAATATGTAGAGGGTGTTATCCTTTCTGTTTATATTTACTACAAAGAACGATTACCACTAACGAATGGTAGTTACTATCTGAATTTCAAAAATAGCATGTATTCTATTTTGGTCATCGCTTCGTCACTTTATCAATGTTATCACCTTCGTAACATTCGACACCGTTTGTATTTATTTGGGCAATCACTGTAACTTCAGCAAATAGAATACGTATATAAGGAGATGTATCTGGATACCTCATCACTTACAACTCATTGTTTAAAGGAGATTGATACAAAATGTTCACTTTGGTAAGTCTTTTTGATTACTTTTTAATAATATCTAAAGTTATTTAAGTTACTGGTTACAAATCAAAGTAAGAATAACTAAGTAAATGATAGATATTAAAAAGTATGCTATTCTTTATAATTTGTTCTGTATAATTAACACCAAAATGCATCATTGACAACAGCAAGCATTTACGTCCTCGTGCTTGGAATTCCGATAATTGTATGAAGTAGGTTCTAATTGAATGTTTGCACATTTCATCGATATGTTAATATTAGTTTAACTGTGTTTTAATAAGTACCCATTTATAATTACGACCCATTATCGTTCTAGAGATTATTCGAAAAACTTAAGTAAAAAAAAATTACAATAAAAAGTTTCACTGGTTAAAATCTTATTTATAACATGTATTATAATATTATGTTAAAATTTTCAGAAGCACATAATCGTTTGCCTGGTCATAGCGGCGGCAGCTGCTGACTCGACTGATAAGCCGGAAGTCGCAATACTTACCGAAAAGAGCAACATCAGTGAAACCGGATATGACTTCGAGTAAGTTGAAACAATAATAAATCCATCAATTAAGATTTTAACAGTACATTGAAATATAGCAGATTGTTCGATCGAATCAGATCGAAATATTAATAAATATAACTTAATCAAAGAAAGTAACAACAATTCCTATGGTGTTGAAAATATTCGTGGGCTCAGGGAAAATGGAAAAACATTACTTACATATTATTTTTTTTAAAAACTTAGATATCATACTACTAGTTGCATAATGTGGATTTTAAGGTCCCATGACCATTTACTTTCGACTAAAATCCTAGATTGTATATCGTTATTACAATTGACATCTAAAATCTGGTACGTTAATTGTAACTTTGTATCTCTGTAGATTTAAGACAAGTGATGGCGTGTCCCGTAAGGAAGAAGGTCAGCTAATAACCGTTGGAGAGCACCAGGGTATTGGTGTGAGAGGATCCTACTCTTACAACGCTCCCGACGGTCTACAGTACATCGTTACATTTGTTGCTGATGATAAAGGTTTCAAGCCCACAATCCGCGTTGCTGATCCTCAATAAACTATTCGAATTTTGAACATATATTTTTATTTACCACGACCGGTAACAATTTCTTCCGACTACTACCGCCATCTATTATCCCTATAAAATAATAATATCAGAATAGATTACTACTGCGTCACTGCGCGTTTCGTAGTAGTTAGGTTTCAGTCACAGAGTACTTTGTAACATACTGAAATAGAGACCAATCTTCGGCCTAAAATTGGGTAACACGAAGAAAAGCGCCATCTGTATTT